CTTTGTTCAAATTAGGAAGCATTAAAATGAGACAGTTTCTTAAGCCTCATGAACAAGGATGAAACATAGTTTTAAACCCTCCATGACCTATTCCACAAATCCAAGTGTGAGGAAAGTCTTCCCAACACAGAATTGGGAAGCCTGTTAATAGAGCTGAGAATTCTGAATGGCTGCTAAGAGAAAGGCTACTTACTAGACCACCTTAACATGCTTTGGTATCGGACAGTACCCCCAGAAGCCAAGAGGGATCTTAAAGAGGGAGGTAAATTTTAGGAGCTAATTATCAAATTAAAAGAACTTTGGGAGGTACTCCTCAAATGCAGGCATGTTACAATCGCACTCCCAAAGAAATATTCAGAGGGTGGGGGATGGGCAGCTAGAGTTTCAGCTCAGCACCTGCAAAGGTCAGGGTGGGGAGGTCGTCCTCTACAGAGTGCCTCCTTTTCACCTAATTTCCTAACTTTTGGCCTGTTGAGTTCTTCAGACTGTCTGTCCACTGTCCAGCAAGGGGCCTGGCCACGGCTTCCTTTTCTTGAGCTGCGTACTTTCATCCAGTCTTGAGCAGCCCCATTTCGGATTGGCCTTTTTATGTTTGATATAAAGAATAGTTGTTGGCCAATTTCATCTTTTCATCGCTGTTCTCTAGGCCGGAATCCAAGAGGCTTGTCAGATGCTCATTAACTCCCCCTTTGGCTCTTTCTAGTGTGTCTCCTAAGCTCATTGTGCCAAGAACTAACGCTTTCTTTTACACGATTCTCTTTCTCTGCTCCATCAGGGAGACAAATTACTTTCCAAAAGGGATCGCCAGGGATGGTTTAATGAGAATTTCTTTGGGGCTAGGCATGGAACGCAATGTAGTTAACATTCGGTGGACTTAATTGGACTTTTCTTTTCTGCCTCCTTTAAAAAAAAAATCTGAAGCTATCCTGTTAATCTCTCATTTGTAATCAATTGTGTTGACTAAACAAAAGTCTAGGTCGTCTTTTCTTCCTGTCCCAGACAATCCTTTGTTGCCTCTAAATGCCTCGTTCTTGAGTGATCCTGGTTCTGTAGATGGGCCCGATTGTTGACAGTTCATTATTGCGCTTTTGTCCACTTAATCTTTCTTGCTGTGTTTTGCATGTGCATGCCTTAATGAGCTCCGTTGGCAATTAACATGTTTCTGGGAGCAAACTGGTTGCTCAGACGTTTGAGAGGGAAGTGCAGGGAAAAGGGCAACGCAGCTGCCTTGAGGTTGTTTATTTCCCAGCGTTTTCTCAAGACTCGGGTACCCTCTTTGGCAGCACCCCCTTCTGCCCTTCCCTCCCCCAGCCCATCTACCCCGGCACACCTGACATCTTACTGCTCTAGGGTCTGGCTCAGGCAGCCCTCTACCTTCTTGTGAGCCAAACAGCAAATTGGGGCCCCATGTAAACCCACTTCTGCAGCCAAGGCAAGAGCATGCAGAGTGCCCCCCAAAATGTATCTGGATGCTGGCACTTCTCTGTGTCGCTCTTTGTGGAGAGGAACCTCTAACCCGCCTAAGGCAATAGGACTGTACAATCTGTTATGTACAAGGCTGTGGCTTTGGAAGAAGGCTTTTTTTTTTTTTTTTTTTGAGTCTTGCTGGCAAGATTGCTGAAGTGTGAGCAGTCATGGACAGAACAAACATCTTGTAGGGAAAAGATAATTGGAGTCTTTTTTGTGTCTATGACAGGATTCCCTTCCCCCGCAATTTGATTTTCTTTTAAATATTTTTTTCTGGGTGGCCTCTTTGATTTAATCAAGGTTAGAATATTAATATGCAGTAGATGACTACCTTGTTTAAGTTATTTATTAATATTTAAAACTCCATGTCATGCAAACAATTTAATATTAAGGAGGAAAAAAATGAGAGCAAACAGAGCCTGTCACCCACCAATTCCGATGCATAAAAGTAAGAAGGAGGCAGGCTAAGATGGTCATGGAGGGAGCCAGGTGCAGGCTATGGAAGGTGCCCTCAGGGTTCTTCTCTTTTCAGGTGAAGGAATTCTTTCCTGGATTCCACACCCAGACCTCTTCAAGTAGGGAACGACTTCCAACCCGAGAAAGCCAGAGCTCAGCCTGGATTCAGAACAGCTGTTTACCTACAATTACCATCAGATGTGAAATACCACCTTCTCAGGACCGGTCCGCATGATTGACAGGACCAGTTGTGAAGGTTAAGTAACAATCAAGTTAAGAGAAACACCCTCCAGGGGCTCCGAAGGTGAGGGAGACTGCGCAGGTTCACCTGCAGTCAGAGCACCTCTTCCTGGCAGGAGGGCTGAGCAGGAGGGAAATGCCATCTCCACCTGAGTTGTGTGTCATTCCTTCAGAGTTTGCAAGGAAACAATCCCCATAGGACTTCAACACTGCCAAAACCTGAAAACACATCTCTCCAGTTTGTAAGATGGGAGATCTTTTTATGAAAAGTTACAACGGAAGACTTTCTCAAGATTCTGTTGATTGATGGTTAAAAAACTAGCTCTCTGGATGGCATGCTCCCTCTTTCATTGACCAGTTTTTCTTAAGAGAACACTTGACCACAATTCCCACCTGCAAGCCGCTCCCCTCACCCTCAATATCCCAGCGTCTGCCTATGTACAAACGTCTTCCCGAGGTATTTAAGAAGATATGGTTGTCATGATAGGCTCTCCAAGCAGCACCTCTGAAAAAGAGGCCTCTCGGGGGGAGAACAGGAGGGGGAGGGAGTGGAGGAGGATGAGGAGGAGGAAGGAGGGGAGGAGGAAGAGGAGGGGGAGAGGAAGAGGGAGAGGAGGAAGAGGAGGAGGAGGGAGGAGAGGAGGAGGGAGAGGAAAAGGGAGAGAAGGAGGAAGGAGAGAAAAAGAGAAAGAGGAAGGAGGAGGAGGAAGGAGAAGAAGAGGAGGAAGGAGATGAGGAGGGAGAGGAGGAGGAGGGAGAGAAGGAGGAGGGAGAGAAGAAGAGAGTTTTGATGGAAATGACTGTTACAGAGCACTCAGCTGTTCAGGAACTGAGTGGGGTGTAATAATGTCAAGCAAAGTTAATAAAACATTTTGAAAAGAATTGGAGGGGCTGACTTCTCAAACTCAAGCAGTCTCCAGGAGCGAAGTTCATATTCTCTGCGGCCAAGTCCTCCTCACCCCTTCGGGTTTTCCTGGGGTTTATAGCATGCACAGAGAGTTGGAAGTTAAATCTGCTTTCTCCTGTGGGTCCCGATCTCTCAGGGAACTACAGCCAGAACAAGATAGCATTTAAATTCCCTCTGGCTTCCTCGTCCCCCTCCCCTGGCTGCGTCTTCCCAGACTTGAGGGAGGAGGAAGGGGAGGAATACAAAAAAAAAACGAGGACGCTCTCCTTTCAGGAAATGGAATTCTAATGTACGCGTTCCTATTTCTGAATCGGAGGTACTAAAAATACCCCTGCGACAGCCTGAGGAAGCTGTCGCTGTCCTCTGTGCAAACAAAATCGACAATTCTCCTTCTCAGCGCAATGGGTCTTCGGATTGGGACAGAAGGGTTGGCTGTGACCAGTATAGATCTTCCACCCTGGCCAGGAGCGTCTCCAGGCCACAATCCTGAGACTGCTTTCCATCAATGAAAACTGAAGGAAGCGATGGTCTCTTAGAAGCCCGGACTTTGGATCCCTGCCCTACCTCGCCCTGGAACCCTGGGCATGTCATTTAGATGGTCTCTGCCTCTCTTTCTCCATAGAGTGGGAATAACCACACACACACACACACACACAGAGAGAGAGAGAGAGAGAGAGAGAGAGAGAGAGAGAGAGACCAGCTTGCAAATTGTTGCTAAAGCTACAGGGAAGGTGTTGAGTGCCTGGCTGAGAAAGAAAGCCTTGGAAATAGGAAGGTTTTTTTTCTTCTTTTTCTCTCTCTCCTGGTGGAAGTCACTGGCATTCTCAGTAATGAGTGCCTACTGTATACAACGCGTTGGGCTAATGTTCACTCGTGACTGTCAGAGTTACCTGGGATTGCCCTTTGCAGTAACCATCCTTCCCTCCAAATAGCCACCACCGCGGTGGAAATCCGGGTGGGGTCAGCACTCAGAAGTCCTCGCCTCCTCAACTCGGAGGCTGCGTGGAAGAGCACTCCCGGGCCCTGCGCCGCATTTCCTCTGGTGTAGGAAAATAATGTTACAGAAGACGTGGGCTGAATCACTGCGCCGATATTAAAAGTGTGGAGGGGAGTGAGGGCGGAGGGAGGAGGCCAGGCGCGACGCGCCAGTAATCCGAGCTCTTGATTATCTAGATTCGGATCAAACGGGGCGGCGGCGGCCGGCCCCCTCCTGGGAATGATTAGATGATTAATGTAATGCTGTTTGAAGGGTCTCTGTTTTCTCTCTTAATTTGGGTCATTACTTAGAAAGCAAGCGTGAGATCATTTCATCAGTGTGCATGGCGGCAGAGATAGCTATTGAGGAAGCGGGCTAACAGCGTGGTAATCAGGACCCGGGAGCACACAGCCACCAGCTTTGGGAGCTGGGCGCGCCCTCCCGCGGCAGGGTGCCGCGTGCGTACCCTGTAGCTAGCCCGGACCTGGAGTGTAGGCAAGGGACACCGCGGGCTCGCCCAAGGCTGGACAACCTCTAGCTGCCGCCACCAGAGGGGCTCGGACAGTGGCTGCGCTCCTCAAGCCCTGGCCTTCTTCCTGCACTGCGTGCTGCTGAGTTCGGGGATACCCAACTGCTACTCCACGGCATCCAGACACTTTTAACCCTTAAATTTTCTTTTTCTCACCCAAATGAGAATCACAAGTATCTCAGTCACCAAATAAAACCTTGGGCTCTTGATGGAGTCGGATGGAGGTCTTTTGGCCCATGCTCCTGGGTGCTTTAATATACCAACATACCAGGAGTACCGGTTTAGCCTCAGCTTGGCCCCGGTGTCCCAAGGAAGTCTCATTTGGGAAAAGAAAAGCTATAAATTCCCACTTCCACCTCCTTCTTTGTATTTGCTGAGCTGACCTCGTGGCGAGGGGATGGGGAAAAGAAAACGCGCACTAATGGTTCTGTTTATTGAGTTATATATGTGTAATAATCCGTGTTCGCTTGTACAGGAGAGATTACAAGGTTGTGTGAAGATGGCTGGGGACATCACGCTCTTGTAGGCGTTCACGGTGACAGGCTGGGATTAAAAGCCGGCTGCCTGAGAGAAGCCCAGGCCTGGAATTAAATATGTTTCAGCGCACTGGATTTAAATACGTTTCCTGAATGTACAAAGGCGGGAGCCACGTGTTTGCTGCTGGTCATCGAGGACACGTTCACCTTTCCCAAAAATATGCTGGTTTCAATAAATAGATTTTAGCCTCTCTGCTATAGTTTTTTTTTCCTTTTAATTTTAGAAATAAGTTTATACGTGTGATTTGCTTGGGTTGGTACAGAGCAGGAAGGAAAAGCAAGGCATTAACTCTCAGCTCTGAACTGTCCTGGCCAGGTCCTTTGCAGAGGGGGCGGTGGCTGGACCCACGCTGTCATGAAGTTTGCGCACATGTTTCTTTAAGTCAAAGTTTCTGCAAAAACCTTTGCCACAAGTGGCGCACGTGAACGGCTTCTTGTCGTTGTGGGTGTGCATGTGGAAGGTGAGGTTGTAGACCTGGTGAAAGGCCTTGTTGCAGATGGTGCATTTGTACTGTTTCTCGCCGCTGTGGGTGAGTTTGTGGTTTTTGTAGTTCCCTACAGGAGAGCAAAAACAAAAACAAAAAAGTAGGGGCTTGTCGTGGAATGAATGAGTCGTCCCCGCCTCTGTCCAACTCCCACCCCTTGTCTCCCACCCCTCGGTCCCTGCAGTGGCTCAGAAGGCGATGCTTGACTCGGCGGGCGCGACCTCTCCAAACTAAGAAGTTGTCAAACTTCGTCTGCATCAAGGCCGGGGCGCTCCAGAAGGGACAGTGGGCCAGGTCTTACCCAGCCCGCCGAGCCCCAGCCCTGCTCAGTACAGAGTCCCACGAGGCGTCCCTCCTGCCGAGCTCTGCCGCCTAGGAAACTTTTGTGCAGCCTAAAGAGGCAGCAGCGGGTTCTTCCAGCTGATGCCTCGCTCGAAGAAATCGCACAAACCTAGGCTCTGTAGCTCAGTTCTTCGTGCCCTCACCCCCAAACCCCACTTACTATCTGAAGACCCAAAAGTACCTTGGAAATTGGGTAGAGTCCCAGACTCTGGGAGCACTGGCGACCCCCCTCCCCCGCCAATCTTAAGTTGTTCCCAGGAGGAAGATGATGCTTTGGTTTTTCTTTCTTTCTTTCTTTCTTTCTTTCTTTCTTTCTTTCTTTCTTTCTTTTTCTTTCTTTCTTTCTTTCTTTCTTTCTTTCTTTCTTTCTTTCTTTCTTTCTTTCTTTTTTTAAAGGGAAGTACTGCTTACAAAGGGAACCTCTCACTGAAAGGCTTTACTTCTTTTCCTTTTGCCCCTTTCCTTAATTTCCAGCTCCAAAATTCAGCCTCCCTCATCACCCCCTGTGAATCAAGCCTTAATCCATCGAGGTCTACTAACCCAGCCGGGAGAGCGGCTACCTATATTCGGCACAACCCGATTCCAAAGAATTGCTGCGCCCCAGCCTGGGGCTTTTGTGCTGCCTCTATCCACCCACCTCTCTCAGCACCCCCCCAACCCCGCCCCTGCGACCTTCTCAGCCCTCGAGATGAGATGAAGGAGTGCCAAGCCAAGTACCTTACCTTTTTGGTGAAAGCCTTTGCCGCAAAATTCGCAGACGAAGGGCTTGTAGCCCGCGTGGATGCGGATGTGCGTGTTGAGCGTGGAGCTGCGATTGAAGGCTTTGCCGCACTGGTTACACTTATGTGGTTTTTCCTGCGGAGAGGGGCGTGCTTACAGTAAGGCCGAGGCGTCGGCAACACCTCGAAGGGACACAGCAGCCCCCCACCAAGGGTAAGGAGAATCCAATATCATCGCTCAGACTAGGGCGGAGGGTGCACGCCGATCGGCCTGACCTAGGGGCCACGTACCTGGGTGTGGATAATTTTGTGTCTGCAGAGAGTGCTGGCCTGGCGGAAGCCTTTGCCACAGACTTTGCACACAAACGGTCTAGCTCCGGTGTGGACAGGCATGTGGCGGGTGAGGTTATAGTGAGCATTAAAGACCTATGGAAGGATGAGAGCGGAACTTGTGTTGAGTCGGCCAAGGGCCTAGAATCGGCTCCGGAGGCCACAATTTACCTCCCCCAACCAACCACCCCATGCGAAGCCCGAGTCCTTTTGTCAACTGTGTGAGGACTGACAACAACCCCATTTTTCAGATAGGAAACTGAGGTTCAACTAGGTATCCAATGGAGTACACAGTTATTGAGGAGCTCCTGAGCTTGAGAACGAGAGGCACAAGGCCGCCCCAGAAAGCAGGTGGCTGCTAGCTCCCTCCCCCGGAACCTTAGACCTCACCTTGCCGCACACTTCACAGGTGAAGTTTTTGGGTTTGCTGTCAGTAGAGCCCCCTGGGAGTTTGCTGTGGCTTTTGACTCCCCCTCGGTCAGCGGTCAAGGCCGAGTTCTCCTTCAGCACCTGCTCCAGCGGCGCAGGCAAGCGCTCCTTATGGGGATAGGGAGCTGGATGGGGGAACTTGTCCGCAGTCAGGCTGGCCAGTTTGGCATTCTCCAGCAGAAAAAGCTTGGGGTGAGCAGCCAGGGAAGTGGGGGCCTGTGCGTTGAGGAGGCCAGATGGGAAAAGGTGGCTGCCGAGGAGCTCCGATGGTGGGTAAGCAGTGGAGTCCAGGTAGTTGAAGTAGTAGAGCGAGCCGCTGGCCGGCAGCCCCACCGCCTGGTTGATGACCTGCGGCTTGATGACCCTGCCGGCCGGCAGCGCAGACGGCGCAAGGCCCAGCTCGGCCTTGCAGCACACGCCACAGTTGGTTTTGCACAAGGCGCTGGCGCCGCACACTGGGGCCCCCCCGCCGCTGCCGCCTCCTCCGCCGCCGCCTGCCCGGAGGCTGCTTTTCCAGAACTCCGAGTAACTGAGCAGTGTCTTGGACGGCACCTCGTAGCCTAGAGGCTGGAGGGGGATCATACAGGGCAGCGGCGAGCAGAGGTTGAGCAGTTTCTTGCTCTGGCTGCTGTCTGCTTCTAGTGCGGAAGGCCGGGGCTCAAAAGGCGCTCGGGGTTCGGACGTCTTGGCCATGATGCGCTCGATGGAGAAGGCTAGTGTTTTAGAAGTGGCTGGTGACGCTCCAGCGCGCGGGCAGGCCGGGGGCACCATGGTCTCCAGGGAAGCTGAGCTGGCCATGGCGCGCGAGGCTGAGCCAGGCTGGGCCAGGGCACAGCCTCTCTCCTCTAAGTCTGCATTCCGGAAAAGGCAGGGGGGAAACCGCAATTTAATAAGCACCTAGTCGGCCCGGGTCACCCATTTGCATTCAAATGAACAGAGGCAGAACAAAGTGCACCCAAGGGTACCAAATTACCGCCCATTAACCCGGCGCGCAGAGGAACCCACCAGCCCTTGCCCTGGGACTATGAAAGGGGGAAGAAGGGGGAGGCTGTACAAAGGAAAGAAGAAGAGGGGGTAGAAGAAAGGAGTCTCAAATTAACACTCCCCAACCCTTCCCTGGACCCAGGCCTCTGCCACGCGTGCTGGGAGCTGGGCACTGAAAGGGCAAAGTGAAAGAGGACAGGGAGAGCCACCCCGCATTTACCTCTTTCCCCCACCTCCAAGGAGATGCGTTCCGAGCCATGCAGCGTGTCTCTTCTGTCACATTTTGATGGCAAACATCTTCCCCTCCGCGTGAGATCACTGTCTTTTACATTCAGCTGACATCACATGAAGTCACTTGAAGTGGAATGACAGGGGCGGCGGCGCGACTCCCGTTGAGGACCCTGCGTTCCCCCGCGCCTGCCGGCCGCCGCCACCGCCCCTCAAACTTTAAAGGAGGCAACTGGCGCCCGCGCTCCCTTCGGGAAAGTGCGAGCGGTTTGCGAATAGGGAAGGAGGGAAGAGAGGGAGGGGGGAGGGGGAAGAATCGTGATGGTTTTGCCTGTGGAAGAAGGTGGGGGGAGCCCAAACCCAAACCTAGGCAGAGTTCTTTGCGTGATTCACAACTTTGGGGGGCCTATAGGTTTAGGGTACGCGGGGAAGGCGGAGTGTCCCGGACGCACTACCTCAAAGGGCCCCTGAGTGTCTGTCTAATCACCGAAGTATCCCTTAGCCCTGCGCAGCCGAGCTGGGCACCGTGCTAATAAACTGCCATTTACCTACGGAGCCCGCGCCAGCCCCGAACACGCGCAAATGATAATTACCTCATTAGGATGTGGCGCATGGACGCGGGCGTCGCGTTTGGAGGGGGGGAACTTGTTAATGGGGAATTATTAATTTATGCAAAAGCAACGAGCTCGCCTTGGCTGGCGTCGGAGGTCGAGGGAGAGCTCCCTGCCGCCTAAGGACGACCTCGAAGAGTCCGGAAGGGCCAGGAGGCGCGCAGGGATTCAGGGGACTTGGGGAAGGGTGGGTGCCCCTGCAGCTCTCTGGCCCGCTCCTAGCCTAGGGCTGGGAGAGTCTTGCCCCGAGAACCCTAGGGCTGTTTGAGAAGCTAATCGATCCGAATTGCTGATTTGTGATCGGGTTTGAGAGGCAAAGCCGGGCTCGGCGCCTGGTTTAGGGCTGCGTGCGGGGAGGATGCGGAGGGCAGCTCTCCCGCTGCTGGGTACTTACTGTTTGTATAATTGAGAAGGTCCAATCTCCACCTGTTTAAGGAGCAGATTGAAACAGCAGAACCTCCCCTGGATCCTATTAAAACGTTTTTCCTCCTAAGGCCATTCAGTCGAACCAATTTTCCGAAGTGATTCATAGAGCTGAATTCTGCCAAGGCAGCTCTTTCACTTTTAGCCACTAAAGCACCGCGTGGAACCGGGTTTTGTGTTTTTCTAAAATAAAGAGAAGGATTATCAGAGGGGAGAGGGAGGGGGCCTGAAGCGGGGCGGGCAAAGACTTAGTGTGGCCAGAGGTACAAGCAGGGGGAAGAAAAGGCTCTTTTCTAGACAGGCCCCAAGTAAGTTCGGAGGAATTCAGCGTTTTTTTGTGCCTGGCGCACAAAAGCAGAGCGCTCCGCGCTGGGTTTGGAGGGGCTGAATTCATGTTTGCAGACCATTCCACCTGCGTACCACAACAAACTGCTCAAAGACGCTCCAGCACTTTCAACAGGCCGGGTGCTCTTGGCGACAACAAAAGTGGTCGAGGCTGAGGGTTCTTATGGGGGGGTGGCTAGCTAGAGAAGGAGAGAATTAGGTTTAGGGAAGGAGAGGGGGGAGTGCATCGGGTTTTTGAAAACTTTTGGCTGTTTTTGTTCGTGGGACAATTATATCTTGCCAGCCGGCTTTTGCAAGACCAAGAGCTTTGTAGCCGCAACGGCAGTTTAAGAGGATTACGGTGGGTATAATATGAGCAAACAGGGTTGAGGTTTGATAGTCAATTCCCTCTCCAGAGATACACCATCAGCGGAGCCAGGGTAAGTGCCGCGAAGGCCAACCGTCGCCTCCGCCGCCGTTCTGGGCAGACTCTGCCGCAGCTTACCCATCTGACCCCAGGAGCCTCAGCGCTACCGCCGCCCTGGGGAAAGCTGCCCGTCAAGGGTCCGAGGAGCAAAGCTCTAGTTTAGACTGCTGACAAACAACATCCCCTTTCCTCTGCGAACTTCTCTCTCCTTCCACCCACCCACCTATCCAACTGTGGCTCCTCTGATGGCCATGTCAGACATGGTGCTGATGTGGCAGATAGAGAAATGAGAAAAAAAAAAAAAAGGAAAAATGTAGTAGGGAAACAAGGTGGGTGGGGGGCACACAAATACAGGTCTCCAAGAGAAATGGCAGTGCAAGTGGCCTATGGTAGACTAATAATCTCATACTGTCAAACTCTGAAATTCAGCCCCTAAATTCAGCAACTATGTCTGTTCTCTTAATATCACACACACACACACACACACACACACACACACACACACACACACACACACACACACACACAGATCTGAAGCTTCCAGATATCAAAAGCTAGAGTCTTGCCCAACTGGAGAAGACTATTTTCATGTCGTCCATTTAATTTAAGACATTTCACAGAGGCTTCACTCCACACCCAATGTCCCCCGTCTTTATGTAAATGATGAGCTTATAGATGACCCTCCTCTCCCACCAGATCTGAAGTGACCCACTCACCCCAGCACCAAAGTATTATCAGTGCACCTGCAGCCTCTCAAACCTGAATTTCCACCCCGACTTTCCTGTGGAATCCTGCTCGTCAGCAGCATTGCACCCCAAACCTTTCCCCAAATTGGGCAATTGTCGGTCTCTGCAGCAGCTGAAAGATATGCTGGTATGAACACTCCATCAGGCTGAAAGGCTTCCAAGGGCTTCCTGAGAACCTGCCTTGCCATCCCGCCTGCTTTTTGTGGCCGCATAAACCATCTCTCTCTCTTCCCAGCATCACAAAGCAGTGCTACCTCCACAGAAAGAAAACATTTGGGTAAAAACAAGTTGCCCTTAATGTGCCTTTCTTTCCAAATGTTGGGTGAACACACTGGCTTTCATGAAAGTATTTAATTAGCTTCCACAAACTTCTTCCCTTGCCTGCAGATTATATTGAAGTGAAGGGTTGGAAACTATTTTACACCTTGCCACTCACATGTTAATTAATCTCTATCTAACCCTAATTGCAGTTTATTCAAGCACTGCTCAACAGCTCACCCACACAATAAACACTGATCCTACTTTTATACATATTACTTCACGTTAACACATTGAGTAATTAACTCCAGTACCAACTAATAGTGCAAACAAATATTTTCTGTAAACGAGATGATTTCAGGAAGAATAATAGAAGACTGGGGAAATGTCATGCATGGTGGAGGGGGTGCTGAGATTCTCATTCCTTGCCCCCCAAAACCTTCAAATGCATTTTCCCAGGACATACCAGTTTTTAAAGGGCTGATTTCCTTTTAGGAAGACTGAGACACTATAGAAATTAAATGTTCAGAATTTTACAGAGTTGATGGAGAGGGTTTTATGAGATTAGGGGTGACCTTCTTTAACCCACAGGTTTTCAGCATAGGGGAGGATCCCAGATGAGCTCTACAGGAGGTCGCAGGTCTAAGCACATTGATTAAGCATGCTGTTCCATGCCAGAAAAACTTTAGTTTTGGGAAACTTCCTACTTAAAAAACCTTTCCTTTGAAAGGGTGCTTTCTCAAGGAAGGGTGACTTTCTAGGTTTACCGCTTTTAAAATCCAGACTGCTCACAAGCTCCATTGTTGGTACCAATAGAGCTGAGAGACAGGCTGCAGATACCTGACCAGGAGGGGCTCTATAGTCTGGACTTCTGAAAGGTCTATTCATGGCAGGAGGTGTGTGTGTGGGGGGTGAGAGTGGGGAAAAACAATCACGCGGACCCAGCAGGCCTGCGGGCCACCACACACAGCCCTTGGACCAACAGGGTTTTGCCTAAAGGACTCAGCTCCTGGCTGATGCAAAAACAAGACTCTTGCTCCTTTGTCATCTAGTCTTGGCTTGGGCACTACTAAGGAAACCCCAGAGTGAGGCCTGGAGCTCCTCTGGACCCCAACACTTGCTGTTTTTCGCAACCGGGCTGAAGCACAGCACTTCTCTTGCTCTGTGGGACCTGCCCTAGCCTCGAACTCTGCAATCCCAAACCATGTGATGCCACACCCGGGCCAAGGGATATGATGTGCACACCACTGACTAGGGATGTGTGCCCAACTCCAAAGACCAAAAGCAGTGTTTTAATTGAAATCGCAGGCTTAAAGCACAGCTGGCAGCTGCCTATTGATTTTACAGGAGCTTCTCTGGTAGGAAGCATATTAACTATGACTGGCCATACAAGGGCTTCGCCTGTCCCCACGCCCCTTCCCTCGGCCATTTTATGGTCACTGACTCGAACCACTGTAATAATGACTTCTGTTTAAGAAAAAAAAATCAATGCCAGAAATCGCCTACACTTTAGGACAAATTACTTAGCAGATGCCTTCCCGGAATGCAGACAACCTCAGAGGAAAATCCCTTTCTTATATAGAAGCTCACACATTCACACCGCTTTTGGCGCCTGGAAAGAAAGCATTTCGACCCCGAAAAGGTGCTGCAATTCTAGTCTAGGTGGCTGGTGTCTCTTGGTTCTGGACAACAAGGGACACTTACTTTTTAAATTGTTAATATTATTTTCTCCAATGACTGCAAAACATAATAGGTCGTGGTAAGTCACCTCACGCTAGGGCAGTGCACTCTGGGGGGCGGACTGAATTTGGGGACATATGCTGGGCAGATTTGATGCGGTCCGTGCTCCCCTCTCGGATTTATTTAGAGGTAATTGAGAGAAGAGAGCGAACCCGAACCTTAAAAACTTTCAGTTTTCTTTCCCTAGTGCCCACTCCTTTCCCTTCCCTCCATTTAAAATATGATTTATGTAGTGACCAGTTCTAACCGCTGCTTAAAATACATCAGCTTTTGAAGGAAATTGCTCTGCTATCCTCCTTTTCACCCCAGGAAGCATCTTATTGAAAACATTCGAGCAGGCTTGCCGGTGGCGGGCTTGTTCAAGGCGCCGGGGCCTCCGCCTTCGTGAGCGTTTGTTCTCAGTCTCAGAGACAAAGAGCCCTGGATACCCTGGCCCAGCAAGGCAGGGCACGAGTAACCGAGTAACCGGAGAGCTCCCGGGTTCCAGGTGTCCCGTAGCCTTGGGCCTGGGCTGCGGTCTCTAACTGCTGGCACCCTTTGGGTGCTACAGTGCCGAGTTAGAGTGGTACAACACCCGGCCCTCTGCACCCAGCAGCTGTTTAGCAGCGTTTAGAGCATCCAGGGGCTGCCCTGCAAATTTCAATATACCCACCGACAGTTTTCACCTTAGACCAGGAGCCATGCCTGTTAGCCAGTGCTCTCCAGGCTTTCAGGCTGAGGCGGATAGTGGGGGTGGGGCAGTGATACAAACCTATGTGGATTTCCAGGATCCTTCCAACACCTTGGTGATCACAGCGGAAGACATTCTCTTGTTTTCAGAAATCTGGGCAGTGTAGGCACTCCCAGGCCAGAGGGAATCTCCCCCAAGTGCAGATTTGTAGTCTCTATTGCAGGTTTGGTGCACTCTCCTCTCTGCCCTGGATGCATATATAATCACAAACATATATATGCATATCGTATATATGCATATGCATGCATATCGTGTGTATGCATGCGTGTGTATATTCTATCGACATTCTAGAAATGCCATTTGATTAGGAATCGAATCCGATACTTGGCACAGCGTTCTGCAAGCGGACGTGCCATTTTTCCAGGCGCAGTAAAGGAACATTCCTTTTACACCTGAGTTTTCTTAAGACTTGATTTTGCTGTGCAATCCTAAGGAAATAATAATTTATGAACAACAACTATGACATATTTTAAATGCATTATAGACACATATATGTATACATACAGGAAATAAAAGGGCATTTTGGTGAGTGACAGGCCCTGTGTAGTCGAAAGATAAGGATTTACACCCTGGGAAGATGGCTTAGGATCCTCCCCATTATTTAACTTGGCAGTTGGTTAAACTCCTCGGTGGAGCCTGCCCAAAAATATTAGTGTTAAGAGCTAAGAGCAGGAGTTAAGCAA